TCTTCTGCAAGGGACTCTTGGGCACATGGGCACAGATGACTCGCGGCAAGTGAGCGCGCGCATAATGCTTGTTGGCGAGGGCGGAGGGGGGAGGCTGAGATTGCACGATTTTGCGTTTACAATGAAATGCGGGGAAAACATGGGCACATCGCACGACCCCAGGGAGGGCGGATGATTTCGGGGGGGGGGGGGGGGGGCAGATCCGAATTTCCTTTCGAGAGGGGGCCCGCGCGACGCGCGCGAATCACTCGGCCGACCTCGCAGTTGCCAACTCCACGGCTCGCGCAACCACCCCGCCAACCCACGCGCAACTTGGTTTGCAGCAACCACGAGGCAGCGAATGCGATGCCAGCTGAGCGCTGGCCGGCGCGTCGCCACAGCCGCCCAGGAGCGCGCAGGCTCGCGCGCAAAATAGCCAGCTAGTCGTACACGACCGACGCGGACGCTGGGGCGCCGACCGCCGGGGACTACCCAGCGCGTCTCGCACGCCGCGCTGACGCGCAGGCACGTCAGAGCCAGCGCGAGTCGGTGACCCGGGCGGGAGCGGTATCATGGAGACGTCGACAACGGCACACACAATGATGATAGTAGTGGCGCTGGTGGCGACGATGGAAATTTTTTCCTCTGCAAGCCGTTAGGCAGAACCGAGGGGCCACGGTTGGCCCGGGCCACGGTTGGCCCGCGCGCGGGCGCCCCACGGGCCGCGCCCGGGGCGCCACCGGCGCGCTCACACCTTGGCCGAGCGGGCCCAGGGACGGCCGTCACCTACCAACCCCCTCCCACGACCCCCGCGGGCACGGCCCCGCGGGGGCCAACAGCCAGGGAGGGAGTTGGTCGGTTCCTAGGCACCCCGGGCCCGCCCCAACGGGCCACGACACGACGGACGACACGACAGCGACGGCGACGACACGACGGGGAGGACGGGCCACCAGGCACGACCCCAACACGGCGAACCGGGGAGGGGGTCCCGGCCGTGCTGGGGCTGCGCACCCGGCGACCCCCCGGGGGAAGGGGACCGCGCTTTGGCGGCCATCCCACCGGGTGCGGGGGCTTGTCGCCCCGGAGGTCCAGCGCTCCCCGCCTGCGCCAGAGGGCTGAACAGCCCGACCCCACTCTTGGGGGCCCCCCCGGGGCGGCGACGATGAAGATGACGACGGCGCGGCCAAGGATGGCGCCGATGCTGATCACGCCGATGACGATGATGGTGCCCGCGCGTCGGCGATGAAGGTGTTAGAAGGATGTCAACATACTACCCGGCAAGAACTGCCCTCAAAAGGCCCCCAGGGGCCCCACAGACACAAGACGGCCCCGAGACCCCCAACATGCCCCAAAAAGGCAACTGATAAGAACCCAGAGGGCCCCAAGCAATCAGCGAAAGCCTTGAACAAAAACACCACGAAGCCTCCCCCGACGGGAAGACGAGCTAGCATCAGCTACGCAAATGCGAAATCAGAAGCTGCACGCATCCTCTCTGGGGGCCGACGGAACGGCGCGAGCCTCTTAAATCCGCCCGCCCACTGGGCTGAAGGGCCTGAGAGACTTAACTACGAAACCCCCCTACAATGGTTTAGCCCCTCCCCCCTGAATCCCCCCCCAGACGCTTCGGCCAGTCCGCCGCCCGGCTGCGCCCGAGCCCCTTCTGTCCCCAAGACGCCTCCAAAACGCCTCCCAAGACGAGTTCCACTTTCAGGTCTTTCTGAGGACGGGACGCTTCCGGGGCGCATTTTGGTTCCATGTCGGCCCCTTCGGGGCCTTTTTCTCCATCCGCTCCTGGGGACCTCGAGAACGCTTTTGCGGCCCGCTCTCGCCGAAAAGCTGGCATGCCAGAAAATATTGCAAGCACCATGGTTGTTTCACGATTGTCGCTTCCCTGGGGGTGACCCCGACGGATCTTACAACTGCCTATCGTACTCGTCCGGGGCATTTGTCGTTTAAATCTCAAATTTGGACGCCGTTTTTGGGCGCGCTCCAGGGTCCATTTTGGAAGATTCGGGCCCCGCCTGGGCCCCGAAACGGACCACAAAACAGCCTAGAACCGGCCCCGTTTTTACGGCAACACGCCCCAAGACGACCCAAGTGGGCCCCAAGACACCCAGGAGGGCCCCAAGACGGCCCAAGGGTGCTCCAAGATCGCCCCAAGACGGCCAAAGAGGCCACCAAGAAGGCCCCAGTATTGCCCAAGAGGCCCCCAGGACGGCCCAAGAGGGTCCAACAGGAGCCCGAACAAACTTTTCGAGCCCTCCGTCCCAAGGGCCCCACAGAAGGCCGCAAGAGCCCCCAAAAACCCAACAAGAGGCCACCAAAAAGCCCGAAAACGCCCCCGACTGGCCCAGAAAAGGCCCCATCACGATCCCCAGAGAGGGCCCGAGAGATTTCACTGGTGCCCGACTGGTACGCTACATACTCAAGAAGCACCCAAGAGGCATCCCAGAGGCTCACGGACGCAGACTGTTATGGTTCACGCCTGGTCGACCTGTGTCTTCGTCCACGTCATCGTCGTCGTCATCGCCGTCGTCGTCGCCGTCGTCGTCGCCTTCGTTGTCGTTCCCTGCGTCACCCCTCTTACATTCCTCCTTCTCCTCCTCCTCCCCCTCCACGTCCTTCTCATTATCCTCATCCTCCTGCTTCTTCTCCTCTTCACACCCCGCTCCCTTCGATCAATATGCCTCCAGCGGCACCAATGGGATGCCACTTGAACCATGAAGCATCCGACACAAATCCCGAGCACCAGGGATCCACGCCAGCAGGGATCCACATGACGCTCACGATACCATTTCGGTACTGCTTGGGCCATACCGATTGCACCAACACAAACACCATACACAACACCGTATGCCTTCGCAAAGCATCCCGCGCAACCCCGAACAGCATCCAAGAGGCTTCGGAACCCACAACCCAAACACGAAGGCCACTAGACCTGCTTGGCACGGGGACGGAAAGCACACTTTCAGAGCGCACGGGATCGCTGGCTCGTCCGCTCTTACACCTCTTATTGACTCCCTTCCCCTCGCTCTTGTCCTATCTCAGCCTCGGAGAGTCGCGGAGCTTTCTTTGAGCGCGTTTCTTGTTTTGGAGGGGGCGGTCGGGTCGCGTTGCGTTTTCCGCGTTTGGGCTGCCAGCTTTCCAGAACCCCGCGTTGTCCTTGCGTGGACCGCTCGTTGTCCACGCGTTGCCGCCCGTCCCTGTGCCCTGGCTGCAAGAACTCATTACGCCGCAGCTCTCTGTTGGGAGCTTTGGTCTTATCAGCTCGATTACGTCACCGCTCGCTCTTGGGAGCCGCGGTGCTAAGAGCCTTTGGGAGTATTATGGGCCTCTTGGGGGGCTCTTGGGGAGCCTCTTGGGTGCCTCTTGGGGACCTTTTGGGGCTTCTCGGGGGCCTCTTGGGGCCTCCTGGGAGCTTCTGGGTGGCGGGGGTGAAGGGACTAGGCTGCCTTTGGCCGTCTTTGGGCTCTCTTGGGGGCCTCTTGGGGCCTTCTTGGGGCCGTCCTGGGGCCGTCTTGGGCCGTCTTGGCGCCTCTTGGGCCGTCTTGGCGCCCTCTTGGGCCGTTTTTGGGCCCTCTTGGGGGCCTCTTGGGCCTTCTTTGGGGCGCTCTTAGGGGCCTCTTGGACAATCTTGGGCGCCTCTTGGCCCGTCTTGGCGCCCTCTTGGGCTATTTTGGGGGCCTCTTGGGAACATCTTGGGCCGTCTTGGGGCGGTCTTTGGGGCCTCTTGGACCGTCTTCAACGCCATGAAAGGCGAAAAGCCGCATATGCTAGAAATGTACGTTTTCCTTCAGGAAATCAATGATTTTGGCCTCGTGGGGCCCTCTTGGGACGCCTCGTGGGCGCCTCCTGGGGCGTCGTGGAGGCCTCTTGGGACGTCTTGGGGCCGCCTTGGGCGGTCTTGGGCTCTCTTGGAGCGCTCTTGGGCCGTCTTGGGCGCTTCTTGGGCCGTCTTGGGCCATCTTGGGCGCCGTCTTGGCCACTTCTTGGAGCGCCCAAGAAGCGTTATCCGATGATGTCTCGAGCGAAACGCTGTTGTTAAGCCCCGAAGGCCGTCCTACTCGATAAAAAACGAGGCCGGAGGGCAATTAGATCCGGGTCCGCGGATGCCAACCCCCTCGAACTCCCCCAAGTCCAATTTCTTCCGACTAACGGACCGCACGCTAACGCGCGCTTTCCGTCATCTCGGGCATTGTGTCCAGTGTTATGGCATGAAGCCACATGACGCCGCACGCCATGCCTGAGTTCACGCCCAAGCAGAAAATGACGTCCATAACACAAATCGGCCTAAATGCCTGCATGCATCGTCAGAACCCCGACCCCCTACCTGGGACCTACACTTCGTGCTGTACCTACATATGCTCCCACAGCTGCGTCGCTTGTGGACTCGATCCAAGATCAATGATGGACGCTCCTGGGCTTCACTTGAGCCCAAAACAAAACCCAGGCCGGCCCCAACCCAGCCCGATGCTCAATGGCATTCTGACGGAGTTACGGCCCAACACGGAAATGCTGTCGCTTCGGCCGTTCAACGCCCGCCTGAGCCGCATGGGTCCCTGCCTGGCTCCTTTTCGGTAGCGGTCGGACCGTGGTTGGTTGATCTTGGGCAGTGTTCGGGTTATCTCTGGCCTCCTGGCGTGGATAATCAAAAAAGACCCAGAGGACCAACGTGCATATCACTAATCCGTCGGCACTGATGGCGGGGCGCGAACAAGCGGCAAATCTACAATCGATCAGCCACGCGGTACGCCTGACCCTAACAGGTTATGGGTTGGGAACAACAATGGAGCGCAAGCAAAAACAACAAAACACACCTGCGGGGCGTCTCGCATGATTTTCTGCATGTTCATGCCGTCGTGGAGCCGTCATCGTCTCGTCCGGCGAGAACTAAAGTGGGCGGGCGGTGAACGCGAAGCGTCTTGAATAAGGCACGTACTGCACAACACAAGGGGGAATACGCCGTCTCCAAGAGTATTGTAGGATGAAGACGAGGAAGGGTAGCAGGGAAAAGCGGCAGCCTTGAAGAGCACAGTGAGGACGACAAGGGAAGTGCGCTCAAGGTGCTCCCCCACGATCGCCAGCATGAGCATGTAAGGCACCCAGTCCTAGGCAGAGCGGGGCGGCTGGCATTCAGTGTTCCTCTTTGGGCGACTCCTGCGTCATGAGGATGAGAGCGACAAGGAGAAAACAGACAAGGGGGGCAACGATGAGCAGGAAAACAATGAGGCGGCCCCGCCGTCCCAGTCGACAATCGTCAGACAAAGCACGTAGGCGGGCGTCATGGCGAGAGCGTCGATGAAGAACAGCAGTGGCACCTCGGGCGCTGGAACCACTGGGGGACTTCAAGACATATTGGCTTCATCGCTCCTTTCAAAGCCCAAGACGTCCCTTCTAGAGATGACTGCGTGGTCTGTCCAGGACGGGCGCAATAACGGTGCACTTGGGACGTGCACGGTCCGCTTGCGGCGTCCGTTTGCTGGTCCACCTGGTCCCCGACTGTGTTGCCTGCTCCCCCCCTCCCCCTCCTGTCTTTAACGTGTATTGGGACCGTGTGTCCTACCTGCACCCATTGGGAGCCCAGCTCCTCCCACGTGAACATCGGCGGCGCGGGCTGGCACGTTGAAAGCTGGCGGTGAGCGCCAACCTTTCTCCTTCCTGTTCGCTTCTTCCCCCCCCCGCTCGCTCCCCCCCCTCCCATGGCGGCAGCGCCCGGCACTGCGCGGCTTCGGCCCAGTGCCAGGCGCTGCACCTTGCCGCCTCGGCGGCCCCGCTCGCCATGGCGCTGCGCGGCTCAGGCCTGGCCCTTGGCAATGCGGACGTCAGCGCATCGTGTGCGGTTGCTGCCCGTCTTCACGCGCTGGCGATGCAGGGCAGGTTTGTCCCTGCAGCCCACCGGCTTCCTGTCGGCCATGAACGGCCCCCTCGTCTGAGGCCGCTCCTCAAGCTACGCTGCTACCTGGTCGTGGATTGGACTACCACCCCAGGCCTCTTCCGCATCATCCGGCGGCACAACGTTGCTCATCGCCTTCATGGTGCTTTTCTTCCTCCTGGGCGTCGACCTGGTCAAGTGGCGCGTCCTCCTCTGCAGTGCTTGAGGCTGGTGTTCGCGATGCGCCGTCGACGGCAACACCTTCCCCTTCGCCCTCGGGGTCTTCGCCCCCAGTACCTTGCCGCGGCGCACCTTCTCCTGCACATTCACTTCGGCACCGCCTGCACCCCGGGCCCCGTCCGCTCCGGCCGCCTGAAGCCTCGCCTTCCTGTGCCCTGTCTCCTTAATTTTTAAGTTGTACGTAGCCCGCCTAGCTTTTAGCGGAAGAGGTTCGCTCTCGCCCCGCAAATAAGAAAAAACTGTGGTCTGTCCGAGCGAAGGGGGCGGGCGAAACCGTTTTTTTTGTCCGATCCACCGGAACACTACGCACGCCAGCTGCAGAGTGCGCAAGCGGAGCCAACCCGTAGCGCAGGTTTTCGCCACAGCTTAGGAGAACACTCTCCAAACAAAATGTGGCTCATACCCCGCCGTCCGCTCGCTAACTGGACCAATGCTGGTGTGAACAACAGGCGATGCGAATCCCCACATAAAACGCATCACTGCTGCACAAGAGGAGGACGAGGAGGAAGGAGAGGGGAAGGAAGCTGAGGAGTACCCCAAAACATCTGGAGCAGCGGTCAGGCCAACCTGCAATAGGTGAGCCGTTGCGCGCATCCGCGGACTTGCAAACTGGACAGTGCATACTTATAGAACTGAACCCACGCCCCGTGAATGACCACGTAAACTTAAAGCCCCGGGTGGAATAGCAGCCCGAACTTCACCACCACTAGCCGTTCCTAGGACATGCGGCATGCGGCCACCGCACGACCACGGGCAAACGCCACTTGGGGGGAGGAGGGCCGAGGAGCCGGAAGAGGAGGCAGAGAGCGGGCACCCCCAAGAAGGGTTAGCCAGCGCTCCGCCTCCGGGAGGAAAGAGGGGGAGGACAAAGAGGAGAGGGGGAAGCTACGGAGCCTGGAGCTGCAGCCTGAGAAGCAAGTCGCGCGATCCACATCGCCTCCTGCAGCGGCTCCATGGGGCGAACAACCGCCACCCGAATTTCAGCCAAGGGCGAGCCCCCGGGTCCTGGAGACCAGCGGAGACGTACCAAGGCCTCGAAGACGGGGTGCGGCATCCCCTCAATGGCACTCGGATCGGCCACTCAGCCGGGACCGCGATAGGAAGAGGAGGAGGAGGAGGAAGCGAAGGAGGAGAAAAGGAGACAACTAACCTGAACACAACCCTTATGGTTGACCGGCGATGGCCGGGAAAGCCGGCGAGATCAGACACAGAGAGCAGCAGGCAGCCTGAACGGCAGCCGAATAGCGGATAACATCTGCGGCGGGCAGGGAGGGGGGACGACCACGAGACGGAAGGAGGGAAAGGGGAGGAGGACTATTGACGAACACGTTTAAAAGCCTGACGCACAAGGCAACACGACTGCCCATGCTCTCGGGTGGCATCCCGGACAAAACCTCGGAAAAGGTCCGGCGCGTCTCCTTGCAGCGCGCGGTGGCGGATCGCAGCGTGCGTGCGAAATGCTGCGTAGACGGCGATGGCCCTCAGAGCAAGACCTCCACCGAGATCAACAGCAGGTGGTCCGCGGACAGAGCCCGGGTCAGCGATACCCACGAAAGTCGATACACGATGTGTGGTCTCGGGGATATCCAAATTGAGGGTACGTTTGGACCATTAAATGTTGACAAAATGCGCGGTGCTGGATCGAATCCTCGCCGCAACCGCAGCCGAAGAAACATGATGCCGATCTCCCGAATCTCCTGGCCGTTGTCCAGCCATCGACCGCTGTGCGAATAACGACAGCCAGAACTCTCGGCGCGACCAGCGCGGACAGCAAACGACAATGCCGGAGAAAACGGCCCACTCGATGCCCCGGCAGCACGGGGGAAGCCCAGCGATCTAGCCCTTTACGAAGTACTTGATGCACCTGTGTGGGGTCGGCGCCGCGGACTGCCGCGGCTGCTTGGGCTTGCCACCCCTTGATACGATGATCCGGGGGCGCGGTGTCCATCAAAGATGGGTTGTTGACCGAAGCCGTCAGGACCGCCTGGTCGGCCACTCGCATATTGAAAAGGAAGCAGCGTCTTATCCAAGAGCCGCGCTGGGGCACTCTTTCCGCATTTCGGCTGTCCAGCAGAACCGACTCCAGTCTCCGAGCCCTGGCATCTACCTGGAGCCCGCCAGCTAGCATGTCTTCGCGAAGCGCCACTCGAGCCCTGGCGGCCATGGCTGCAGACGCCAAGTCGCGGAGCTCCTTCGGGAAACCCAAATACTTCAGCGACTGCAGGAAGCCAGGCGCAATCCACCTGTACGGGCCTGGGAAAAGATACTGGACCGCCTTCTCCTCGGTCCGGTGGAAGTCGTCGGGCAACGGGCCCAGCTGGGCGACGAATAGAAGAACGGAGCTGATGTAAACGCGATACCCCTCGATGGAGAGCAGCCACCCCAGCCCGAGCCGGCTCCATATGGTCGCTCTTTCAAGGTATTTGAAGACAGCTGCGCGCCAGGACTCGTCGGCGCGACCTGGGCCGACGTAGAAGCCCAAGTACTTGGCCTTGTCCGCGATCGCGAAGGAGCCCCAGCTCGGGGCAAGGCTCGCCAGCCTCGCCCGGATCTCCTCCACGCCCTGGGCGAAGAGCGGTACCAATACGCATTTGTGAACGTTGAGGCGGAGACCGGAGACGCGGCGGAAATCGGAGAAGACGACTTCCAACTTGCCGATGTCTGTCCAGAGGTTCGGAAGAACCACGGCGGTGTCATCTGCGTACGCACGAAGCGTACCACGGGGGGCTTCGCGGACGATGCGGCGGTTGAGGACGTCCGTGGCAACGGCGAATAGCAGCGGGGATAATGGGCACCCCTGCCGCACACCGCGGGCAATCGTGAACCTAGGATGCCGGGCCCCCCCCATGACAATGTCGCACGTGTTGCTCGTGTACAAAATCTCGATGAACCGGATCAGCCCTGGTGGCCACCCGAGGTGGCGGAACACTGCAATGAGGAATTTGTGCTCGATCGACGGGAACGCCGCAGCAAAGTCGAAGAATACCGCAGCCGCGTCGTCCGAAGAGCACCCATTCAAGGCAATGGCCTCGTCGATGTCCACCAAGTTAGCCAGCATGGAGCGCCCTGCTATGAAGCCGCGCTGCAGTGGGAGAACCCGAGGGCCCACCAAAGGTTCGATGGGGAGCCTCACAGCGTTGCAGATCAAACGATTGTCCGCGTTCGTCACGCTGAGGGGGCGGACGCCCTCGGGGTCGTAGTAGCCTTCGCCGCTGCCCGTGTGGCCGGAGATTTTCTTCGGCAAGAAGAACACCAAGCTCCTGTTGAAGTTTGTCACGCAGTCATCAGAAATTTCAAGGTCGCCGCCGTCCATAAGGTACTCGGTGACCTCCTTCAGGACACTCGCGGACAGCTTCAAACACCTGCGCCAAGCAGCGAATGGAATCCCATCAGGGCCAGGCGCGGAGTTGCCAGAATTACGAAGCGCCTGCACGAAATGCGACTTGCGCAACCTCCACCTCGCGCGGCGGAGCGGCACCAGCTCGCTGACCGGCCCGGCGTCGCCGTCCTCGTCGAGCCACCGGGCGAGTTCGTCGCCCTCCACGCCTTCGGCTTTGAATGCCTGGGCCCAGCGGCCCCTGAGAGCGGCGGCGATGGACGTAGGATTGACCACGATGTCTCCGCCTGGACGTCTGACGGCAGAGATGGAGCCCGCGCGCCCTGGAGCCAATCTGAAGATGAGACGATTGTTCCTCTGGCGGGCTTTGCGGGCGGCGAAGACGTCTTGGCCTGTGAGCTCGGCGTGGGACTTGCCGAGCTCGTCAATGGCATGCTCCTTGGCGAGATCCCGGGCGTGCTGGCGCAGGCGATCCAAAGCCCGGGAACTGTTCCCAGTGGTATCGCACGGGTTGTGGATGAAATCGCGGAGGCCCGCGCAGCGTGAAAGACACTCGGACACGTCGTGCTTCCGGTCCTCCTCGACGGCCCTGATCAGCTTCAGCGAGACGCCGAGGCGATCCTCCTTCGAGACCGCTGGGGGTATCCGCTGGGATTCTCGATCCAAGCGGGTAGCGACTGTTCGCATGCAGTCTTTGTACAACGAGAGCCGGGCCATGGGGCCTCGCTCCAGATCGCCCCGCAGCCGTTCATTGCACTCCAAAACCAGTCGGCGCGGGAAGTCATCGTGCAACAGTGCCTTGGTGGACAAGGGCCGGACTGCATCGCCAGCCCTGCGGGGCCTGCGGCGGGCAAAGTACACAGGTCGAT